ATTTGGAATAAAGCAGACAGAATCTGTGACTGAGATGAATGGGTTCCCACAGCATTAAGACGGTCCTTAAGACATGTGCTGATTGTTGGAGGAGTATTGACATTGTTCAGCCTTGTTTTTCGCCACTTTTTCCAATCGTTCATCCGATGCTATTCTTCTGGGTTTATCAGAACAAGCGTTTTAGCTGCTATATATCTCTGCAGTCTAAATAATGTTATAAAAGGGTTTAGGCTCAATTGCAGAAATACCCTTTGTGAGAAAAATCTTATGCAGATCACTTGACTTGTTCGATTTCCCCCCGAGTCAAATGCATTGTGCATTTTTAAATTTAGTGAGACATTTTCTCCGAAAATGAAAAAAGGACACCCGATTCATGGCAGAGGGCTGGGCATAAATCTGTCATAAAATGTATATATAAATAGATCCCATCTCACAGCCCCTGAAATTTGTCAGATTCGTTACTAACTGTGCTATGATGGCTGGGGATCTGGGTGGTGAGAAATTTATATTGACATAATTATAGTACTACCCAATCCTTTCTATTGCGCATTTTTTTTTTCATTTATTGTTCTTTGATGGGAATCACACTAGAAAGGTCTAGAACAAAAAGTTTGCAAGCGTGGTCTCAAACTGAAGTATGGTTTACTGTTTTAAGTAAGTCGTAATCCCGTAGTTAGAGTTGCACAACAGAATGTACAAATTAATATGTTTTATTTGATTAAGCTGGTCACTAAAAGGCCAGATGGCTCTCCTCCCACTGAACATTGACCGATGGCTGCTAAGCAAAGAAACGTTGCTCTGAGCAAAAATGAGGTGTGTGTATGTGTGTGTGGGGGGGGGGAGAGGGGTGCGTGCGCGTGCGCCCGTGTGGACGGAGGGGGGCGGAGGGGATTAGGACAAGTATGAAATAGCTACCATCGAGAGTTAGACGAGAGTTTAGTTGTGTCTTATTCATTTGCAGGACTTCAAGTCAATATTAAAGATACAGACAGTATTTTCCTAGTCAAGGCCCGGAACCCAAACGTAAGACTAAAGACATAGATGAAAAGAAGGGCGATGACTGAATCCCCCACACACAAGGAAAATATCCACACTTCCATTCATCGAGCAGATGCGAAGTATGACGTCACCTGACTGCGAAGAGCGACAAATGGGGCTAAAATTGTCCCACTTGCATAGTTGCAGCTCTGCAACAAGACATTTCCCAAGCGTGCGCGGTGCTTTACGCCCAAAACATACATTGCTTAACTTTCACATTGAATCTACATAAACAGATAAATGGATATACATAGCGTCAGGTTTCGAACCAGAGACCTGTTGACTTACTTTACTTTATCCGTCCTCTTGTACCTCTAGAGTGTCGAGGGGAGAAAGAGCTTCCTGTCTTTAGCAAGTTTGATGGCCTGGCTGGATGGGATATTATATGTTCTCAGGGTATCCCGGACCTATTGAATGAGAGGTAAACATCTTAATCTCTAGACCATGAGAGCCCCCCCCCCCACCCACCCCCCTCTCTCTCTCTCTCTCTCTCTATATATATATATATATATATATATATATATATATATATATAAATATATATATATATATATGTGAAGCGTGCTGACAAAATGAGTTACTTCTCACTATCCACAAATGCAGATATTGGCCAAATATTGACACCAGGGTCAAATTTCTAGGTTTTCTATTGATGCAATATTCATTAAGTACTAAATGCCTTTAGTTATTTCATACTTACTAATTGTAAAACCTTAACTTATAAGCATGACATATCTATTTCAATAGGGCTCAAATCCGAGAAGTAACTCATTTTGTCAGCACACTTCACATATTATATATTATTTTTTATTTTTTTTATTTATTTTTTTTACCTTTATTTATTTATTTGAATATATACATAGTGAGAAAACTGATTATGTAGATAGATAGATAGATAGATAGATAGATAGATAGATAGATAGATAGATAGATAGATAGATAGATAGATAGATAGATAGATAGATAGATAGATAGAAAGATAGATAGATAGATAGATAGATAGATAGATAGATAGATAGATAGATAGATAGATAGATAGATAGATAGAATTAATGAATGAATGAATGGAAAGTTCGATGCATGGAATTATATATATTTACAAAAAAATAAGTTAAAAAAGCTGATTATCATGATTAATGAGACAGAGAAATTAAGGTGTGTGGGGCTTTATTTCATTTTTATTTAATTAGGTATCGTTGTGATGGAGAATAGAAAAAAGATAGGGACATCTAGAAATCCTTCATATAGTCTCTGGTTTCGAGAAATGTTCTCGAATTACATTCTATTAGGTCTCCACCACGTTTTCCCGTAAACTCAAACCCGATTCAATTTCCTCCCAACAAGTAAAACGGGGCATCAAAGCCACCGAGCGCTGGCAAAAGTGATTACCGGAAGGCTGTAAGCGACAGTAGCTGAGAGTGACGCAAGCAGTTAGTAGCGGCCGCGCCTGGAAGGAACCCCGTGGAGGGGCAATCGCCTGTCGACGACGGGTAATTCTGCCCCCAAAGTCCGCCATTCGTCAAATATTGCTAGGGTCAACGTGCGCTGGCCACAGCGTTTATCTTAATCATGTAATGTAGTTGACAGAAACGAAAAAAAAGATGTTTCGGGTTGTTTTGTTGCTGCTTTTTACTTGCTTTTTTTCTTCTAGTTAATGGTGTGCTGCACATTAAACTGTCAATGTCGATGGGATACCACCTGGACCCTGACAGGGCTTCAAACTGATTGGGAAAATTGGAAAAAGTAAAATAGTTATCTAAAGAACAACTTTTACTTCCAAGTTTCTGGCCACTCTACGCGATGAGTTTGGGAATGATGGGTTGTGTCCTGCCCTCCTGGACAGCCTGGGAGATTTAGTGTAAGCGCTAAACAAAGAAATAAACACCAAGACTATCCTGCACATCATTTCCAAAATTACAGCATCATCCTCCCCCTCCTCCTCCTCCTCCTCATCATCATCATCATCATCATCATCATCATCATCATCATCATCATCATCATCATAGACCAAACAATTTCCCTATTTCTTGTTTTGTTTTTCTTGAAGCCTGACAATCTGCACCATGTTGGCACATTTTTATGTAACCTTCAAATATCGGCACCTAAATCAGGACATGAGACAAAAAATTAAATTAAATTAAGAAAAGGTTATCAACAGAACTTGGATTAAAAGTATTCAAGCAAACGCACAACCACGGTCAGCAAAATTCAGTTGAGAGAGTATACATGGCGGTTGTAATGTAATAACACCGTTGTGGCCGGACTATTGTAAGAGAGCGAAAGTAACGAGAATTTCCTCCAGATAACATTGAATGTTATTCTATTAACTAGTCTGTGGATGTTGTAGCCAACAATAGCATAGACATTCAACTTATGAAGGAAAACGTGAGTATTGAAACAGAAACCGGGAAGGAAAGTGGAATGTCGCACACCACATGAGGTCCCCGCTGCCAACGTATCCCATCTCATTAAAGACAGTTCTGAGAACGGTTGACTTTGAAAAATCTATGGCTCCAGCAATGTCTCGAATATTGAGCCTCTGTCATGACGAATGAGTTTTTCAACGAGTTCAGCATTAATTTTTTTTCTGACTTGGAAGACATATCACAGCCTTTAATTATTTTCTCATCGTATAGATTTATACGCCCGTCTTGAGACAAATCAGTTGTACTGATACATCGGTAGACTGTTAACATGCTTAAAATATTCTTACCATAAATTATACTTACAAGTTTTGCCCGAATTTCAGTGAGATTTTCCCCCTTTTTATTTTACGTGAAGATCTTGCTGCTCTGATCTTGTCCTTTGAACTAGTTTGTATAGTGGTTGCCATCTTTATTGCGATGCAGTAAAGTGGTTGCATTGGTTTTGTTTATTTTACTGGTGCATCCAAATCGAGTATTCCCTTAACTCTTCAAAATGTTTTAGATAATTTAAAAATATTAGACATTATTTACGTATGGACAATCTCCTGTTGTTTCTGGAACAGCAATCGTATTTTGGTCGAAATTGAAAAAGATCTGAGATTTATTTAGGAATGTGTCCTACAACACATTTTTTTCAAGGTTTAAACGTAATAGAGAATGACAGAAAAAAAACTAACTAATATTACAGTGTAAGAACGTCCCAAATTATAACTAAAAAACAAAAACAAAAAAACCCAGTTCTGAATAAATAAATAAAATGTATTTTTATTTCAATAATTAAAAAAATAACATCCCACTCCCGAAAAGAAAACAAAAGAAATTTTACAGATTTACGCATCCAGGCCCAAGCACTTTATCGTTACTCTAGAATTACAAAGCTCCGTCTGCTCACTATATTATGCCTAATTTTGAGAAGGTTGACGGTAAAAATTTTAGTTTCACTTGATGCCAAGCTTTTTTCGAATGCCATTCTCTGAATACCTTGATAACGACACCGAATAATTTTTCGATTTTGATAGAGCAATTATAAAACATTTGTTTTCTGACCTCATGATCATAGTAACGCAAAAATGTCAGAAATGTCAGATAGAACATTGTAATTCTAAGGTAGCGACATATTGATGTTAGAGATTTGGAACAAATTAAGTACATGAAGTGAATGCTACCGGGACATTTTAGAAAACCTTAGCCGTGATTCTTGGCAGTAATAGCATGGCCCCTGGGTTGCGAACATCGGCAAGTTAATGTCCCATTGTTTCTCTACCCCAGTAAAAACTTAGCCAACGTCAACATTCTGTGTGATAATATGTAAATTCTCTCTCTCTCTCTCTCTCTCTCTCTCTCTCTCTCTCTCTCTCTCTCTCT